GTATTAAAACTATGCATCCCTCTCTTGAAGTTTAATTTATCTAATTTTCTAAAAATAAAGATTTCCTATTTCGTCTTCGCCAAGATAAAACTCTTTCCTCCACAAACCCCATCCTACTGCCCTTCTCTCTGAGCAGCAGACGTCTCTCAGGCCTCACAGGAGAAATTTTCCTCCAAATTGGTTCGTATCTACAATCTCCATACTCAAGATCTTCCTCTCTGGGAACAGCATCTTCTCGAGCCCATGCTGGAAGTCTGCAAGCTTCTGTAGGCCATGTCCACCTGAGGCCATCCAACAGAATTTGCACAGCTCAAATGTAATTTGTGGTGCAGTTTTGGCTACCTGTTTTCTGCCTGCAGCTTCTGTTGTCTGTGGCTTTTGCTTCAGTCCCCGTAGGTCTAAAATCTTCCAGAATAATCCTCTCACAAGAGGTTGCCTGCTCCTCAGGTAGGCACCAATGGCTGCTGCTGTCCTGCATCACCCTGATGGGTATTATTCTCCTTTATGAATGGTACAACCAGAACCTTGCAATGATTTTTCCTGGTAATCTAATGCAGATTTTCTTTTGTGTGGAGCAGGGGGAGCATGGGGAGGGGCGTAGAAGGGGAGGCACCCAGGAAAACGTCAGTAAGTGTGTTTAGAGGGATGGCGTTCCTGCAACGAGCTCTGTTTGACTGGTGGAAAATGTCTTCTGCATTGATAGTAGCTAATGCAAAACACACCGCCTGCAGCTTTTTATTTTAATGTAGACATCTGAAAGTGACTGTATGATGGAGGGAGAAAGAGAAAGGTTATGTGTCTTCGCAGGCCCAAAATGGCAGTATAATGAATATAAAAGCTATCCTCTCCTCCTCTAATATATTCACTCACCATTCCACCCTCTTTTCTAGTGACTGTAAACAACATTTGTCATCAGCAATGGGCTACTTTTCATTATAAAACTGATCTGGAAACTACATTTTTATTTCATGTACATCAGCGGCGACGGGGGAAGAAACAGGCAAGGGGAAAATATATGTCGCTTGCAGGAGAGGGACCTGGGACAAGTGTTGCCTGTGCAATTCTGGGGATCATTCATAAGTCTGGCCTCCAAGACAGAAGATGGTCTAATGCCTCATTAAATCCTACTGAGCCAACGATGATGTATCATACCCTTTCAATCTTCAACTAAGTAATGCAGTTTAAAAAAACTAATTTGCACATGTTTAATGCATTCATTAAGCTATTAGTCTTTCAACAAGAGATTTAATAGCAAATTAACAGTTTTTATGAAAGAAAAAACAACAACAAAACTCCCCACTTAGTAGAATTACTTTTGTGTCAGAGCACAATACAGGGTAATGGGCAATTAGGGGTTTCAGAGAGGAGGATGGGAAGATGGGTTTAATTTGTGTTTGGTTTATAATTAGCTGGTGCATGGTGCTTAGAATGAAATGAAGTGGATCCCCTTGGTGGGTAAGACACTGATTTGGCCAGAAAGCACGGGGGCTAATAAAAATGAGGAAGATGATGGTTGGAGCTAAAAGAAATCAGAAGTCCATACCTGAGAAAACATTCTCATGTTGTGTAGCTTTCCATGCTCAAGTCAGACTTCTTGTGGTCAGACGCTGGAGACTGAGCTTGTGTTGACTTGGCATCAACACAGGTCTTGCTGGAGCTTGTAGGAGTTTTGACACTAGCTAAAAGGCGAAGCTTCTTCAAAGCACAAACTTTGTACATTGGCTCATCAGAACATTTAAAACTCAGCAAAGTCCTTCTTTCAGGCCTGGGCTTAAAGATGAACGAACTCTTAAGCATTTTGCTTAATGAAGGTAGGTTTGTTCAGGCCCAAAGCCTGAATTTCAGACTCAATCCTCTTTAGCAGATACATGCCAGTGCAGATGGCTGGCACAGGGGCTATTTTGTGACTTCAGGTTTCAATAAGTCCCTTAAAAAATATGTAAATCAACCAATCAATCAATCAATCAAATCCTTAATGAGAATAATGAAATCCAGGGGAAAAAAATTCCGAGAGAGACTGAAGAATTGCAAACTCACGTTGTTATCTGAACTTGCTGAAAATAAGTCTAATTCATTCCCTGAAAAGAAACAAAGAAGTGGAGCTGTGCTTGTTTGCTTGTTTATTTTTAAATGCTCTTTCTAAGTTTTCTGTTTCTTTGAAAAGACAGTTGACAGAATATTGAACACCAAATCCACAGGATTCTTGGGCTTTTTTTTTTTTTTCCAGGTAAACTTTAGAATTTTTTTTCCTATCAGAAAAATTCTTTAAGGGATCCTACACTGAGCTTTGATTTTCAGCTGGAGAGAGAGAGAAAGAGAGAATAGTATAAAATCAATTTCTTAGAGGTCTGAAGAATCATAAATACAGTTTGAATCAATAGCCTGTGTGTGAGAGTTTGTGTGTGTCTTCCCTCACACACATCTATTCAAATAACTGCTTTCCCACATTCAAATCCTTGCTTTCCAATGTGGAATATTAGTGTGAAGCAATGGATCCTGGATATAAATCTGCTTTTCCAAGACTTCTTTCCGCATAGAGGATTCCCTCCTCTCACTGATATTGATTTTATGTAGCTACAAGCACATTGGCATTCAGGACAGGAAAAGACCCCTTATAAAAAAGCACTTTTGGGCAAACTTTGTGAGCTTTAAGCACCAGTCTAAAATTAAGCAGACGCTTAAGCCCAATCACGTGTAGGCAATGCAGCCACATCTCAGTGTCCTTCAATCTCTGCAGGCGAGGCCACGTTAATTCCTTGCATCACCACGGACACAAAGAGTAGTTTTGCAGCGTAACGATCTGGTAGGATCCTTAGGGCTGGAGGCTGAATGTATTTGCATCCAGATGCACTGTGTTCTGAATGCCGTTGTTCCAATATTTACTCAAGGTAATGGATAGTAGTAATAAGACTTTGCACTTCAGGAAGGGATGCTCAGAATTAACAAACTGGAAGTGTGCCTTGGCTGCGGGAGCTCCAGGTAAACATGGGCTGCTCACAGGTTTTTTTAAGTGGGAGATTCTTGGCTGTGTTTGGTGATAAAGCAGAGGTAAGGGGTGTACGGCCTGGCAGAGGAGGTTCCTGGGACCTGGAACCTGGGCTGCTATGGATATGGATTAGTTCCAGAGGGTTTCCTGCCCTTTATTGCAGATTTTTAGATGTGCTGCTGAAACATCGCAGAAACTTGGGCTTATATATCTGTAGGCTAGAGGCGGCTGACTGCTTGGTCCCACGGCAGCAGATGTAACGCATGCTCTCAGCGCTATCCCCAACACTTGTGCAGCGACCGCTGCCAGCTCCTTCTCTCCATCTCCTTCAAGCCAAATGCTATCTTCCCACTTGCTCCCCTTCCCCGTATTCACTTCTTGAGTTCAGGGGCTGGGGAGGACCTCGGCAGCCTGCAGCCCCTGCTGGGGGTGGGCTTCACCCCACTGCTGCCCAGGCCCAGGCCCAGGCCGTGCTCCTCTGCTAGGCCTCTGCCTCTGAATTTCGTCGTGTCAGGTTTTTCTCCCCTGAGCAGCTTGGTGTGTGGGCTGCTGCCTGCTCTCTAAAAGCTTCTGAGATATATTTGTGGCTGCTCTGCTTGTTCTGATTCAGTTGGAACAAAAATAATTACTCAAGGGACGGAAAGAAACGCGTGCATGTATGTGTGCATATGTGTGTGTATATTGAGGAAGTGTTTCTGAAGTGCACCGCAGGACTGCACTGTGTTTTACAGAAAGGTGTTAATATGGTAACAGATCTGTTCTTGAGGCACAGTGAGGGTCCTGAGTGAGGAAAGTACCATGGGAGAGTCTTTGAATTTGGAAATTACACCAGAATCACAACTCTGCCCAAGAATTTCTTGTAACTGTCTTATATATACTGGGATGCAATGGTGATGGAGCAAGCCTCATGCAGGCTTGTGAGGGAACAGTGTATGGTCAGAGGGCTGATCAGATCCTGTAAATGAATATTGCACATATAATATTGAATAATTCTTCTATCTGGTCTTCAACTTGCTGGGATTAATTCACCTATGCAGAGAACCATGCACAGGGAATCTGTGACTTCTGCTGTACCTGGGTGTAATGGCTGATAAGGCAGATGTGCAAATTTCCTTAGTTGCCCTGGTGCTATGGCTGAAGATATTTTAAGTCATTCCGCCCTCAAATCAAAGAAATGTTTCAAACTTAATCTGTGAACACTTTGAGCTGGACTTAGGGGTGAAATTTGCCTAATGTACATCCTCAAAACCCAGTTTAGGTGGTTGCAATGAAGTTTCAGCTTCTGCAGTGGGTCACATTACACAAATTAAATTCTCTCAGTCTTGAGTGAACCTGCCTATCACTTTGCCTCTGAGAGATCAGCAGCAAGAGCGATTGCACACACATGTCTAGGAAATCTGTCTACCTGTTATCCCTCCCCTTTGAAGCACAGCAAAAAGCTGGGACTAGCACAGCCAGTCTGTTGTAATTGAATTTCCCTGCCTTGTGTGTTATATTTTATCAGGCTGGGCTCTTTCGGCTTGCAGTGATGACTTGGAGGTATTTGCATTGCACAGGGCTGCTGAGGAGAGTGGTTGAAAAATGGTGTGAAAACGCTGATAAATAGTTCTAAATGAAAGCAATTTTAGCAAGAGAGCCCGTAGGCGGCCTTAGCCTCCTTTTTGGTGATTGTAACACTCCAAAGATAGAGCTTCCAGCAGCAATGGGCACACAGAGGCAGAGCTGTGGCACAGAACACCTAGGCTGCAAGAGCCAAAGATTGGCTTTGCTTTGCCTCACTACTGTTTGAGTCCAGCTGGATCAATTTATTGGCCGGATTAAAGCCCCTAAATCTGCTGCACACCCATTCATGGCTTTCTTCTGCCCTACTAATGGCAAATAGGTGAAAGAATTTGGAGCTGTCAGCCATGGAGGATACAGCTCTTGCTCTTCACACTCATCCAGCACTTGCACCAAAGGTAAAGGCAATAGCAGCCTCTCACAGGTGTACCTTATTCCTGGAGCTAACATTTTAGGGGCCAGCTGACATCCTGCCATGCTTAGGCCCTGGGCTGTTTATCTGTGCCTGCAGTCTGTCTGTCTTTGAGTCTGGAGCAAGGGATGTTGGAGTCTGCAGAGCTGATGTCTCAGGGGGTCATCACTGATGGAAACTAAGCTCATCCCCAGGTTGTAATTATTTGATATTAACATTCAGACCCATTTTTAAGTTACTTTAAGATGTTTTTAATATGAAAATAAAAAGCTAAGTGATTCCTAGGCTTGCATTAATGGAAGTAAGAGATAGAAACCTAAAGCTAAAAGTACTCTTTTTTTTTTTTTCATCTCCAAGTACATATGGAAATAGCTCACTCCAGCCCCTTGTACTTAAGGATCCATTTGTGCTGCTGCCTCAGCTCCTCCTGTGGAAGGCAGCGAGTTGAAAGAGTGATTTAGACACTGTTAACGCAAACGAGAGGAGACAGGCCAGTACTTAGCACGACAGGCTCCTCAGAAAGTTTAGACAGGGAGAAGCTGTTTCTTTTCTCTCTGTCGTTTCCCCTTTGCAGCCTGCAGATGAGAATTTCATAGTAGAATAATTCAAGGAGAAGGAACCCCTAGGTAATTTGGCTCCAGTCATCCGGCAGTCCTTAAACTCCCCAGTCTTTGTGGATCAGCTATGTGTATGCTAGCAGATGCTGTGCATTAGTACATTTAATAGAAAGGAAATTGTCCAGAATGAGTGACAATGCATATTCTAAATATCCAATAAAAGTATTCAACAGAGGAATTCAGGAAACACAAAAATGGAAGGGGCTGAAGGGTGATGTCCCTGCTCAATTGTATTGTGTATTCTAAAATGCTCCATGCTAAATGAGTGGGTTTGATGGAGGTGCTGGAGAGTAAAGTGAAGTGGCTTACCCATGCAGCAAGCTGGCTGACCGCTGCACGGTCTGACATTAAAAGGTACTCACCTTCAACGTATAAAAGCAAATGGGAATTCAGATCCATAAGACCTGAATTAAAATCAAATGTAGATCACAGATTTTTCCCCACTGATAACACCAGTTAAATCTAGATTTTTGTATGTGCATTTCAGTTTAAGATCATGAGACAAGAACTGGCTTTATCTACTAAAGTAAAAGCTATCTTTGTGCAGAACACTAGGGAAAAAAAAAAAAAGTCATTCTCTGCTTTACATGCTCAAAATGTATTTTGGGTAAACTTATATAACTCGTGGATAAATTCTTTCTGCTGGCTTCCCTTTACAGGAATGAATCTGACCTCAATATTCAACGTTATGTTTTCCAGATAAACTTGGCCCACATTACAGCATCCATCCTTTGGGTATACTGCAGAAATCACTCCAGCTCTCTTCAGCACCCTGGGCAGCACGTGGACTTCTAATTGTAGTGAGTAACCTTTTTTATTTTTATTTTTTCCTTTTCTGGAAGTTCTGAGGCATAAGATCATTCTCCTAATCCTAGAAATAACTCTTTTTTTCTCTCTCTCTCTTTTTTTTTCCTTTTTTTTTTTTTTATTGTGACCGACTACATTAACACAAGGGAATTGGCTTGAGGTTCTAGGATAAAGGCTATCTATTGTGTAATTCTCTGTATTAAAGCCATCAGACAACTGTGTGGATTCAGAAAGTCAAAAGGATAAATGTCCTGTGACAAAGGAAGAATCAAAGGTTTCCAGATACTCACTTAGGTTATGAGTAGACCTATAAAGAAAGGGACTGATCAGCGATGAGAACAACATCTCAGATGAGCTGTGGGGATAAAGTGAGAATTGCAAAATGTCAAGGTTTTAATTTCCTTGCAAAGGAAATTCTTTGCAGAGGAAATTAAAACAAACAGTAGAAATTCCTTGCCCATAGAAATAAGGAGAATGTAATGAGAGAAGAAATACTGACACCATGCAGGAAGAATGGCCCCAAGTTTAAAAGTAATCTTTGTTTGTCCTCAAAACAAAATGAATAATTTTCTTTCAATTTCAATAAGGATGTTGATAATAACCATGGCATAAAGGTGGGACACAAATGGAAAGAAGTGTATGGACATTTAAATTATTATAGCTGAGGCAGAAGTAAAATTCAAACTGCTTGATACAATGATAATGAGAGGAACAAATTGCTTTTATTTCTGATATCTGAAAGGCCTGTTTAACAAAATGTTGGTTCAGTAGCAGGTTGATACTATATAATGGAAGAATTGTAAGCATGGCATGTGTATTTTAGAGGGAAAAAAATGATCAAGGCATTCATAAGTCTATTAGTGTGACCTCTGTAGTATGCAAAAACACCTTTGAAAGACAAAATTAATTAGAACAGCGTAAGGTGGATCACAAATCTTTCTCCAAGAAAAGGATGCAAAAGAATGATGTGGTATCTTGCTTTGAGAAGGTAACTATTTTCCAGCTGGTTGTTGTACTTAGATCTGAATCCAAATAAGCTAGGAACACTTGATACAGGCAATATGAAAAGTACTCATTGAGACATTAGAGGTGAAGTGAAGTTAGATAATAAGAGTGCCACCAAAAGAGATGAGTTCTCCAAGAAAGGAAGTATTTCAGTGGGGGTGGTTGGTAATAAAATTTTTCAAGGGCCAGTCCTGTCAGATCCAATTTCATGTTTTCATTAATAATGGAAATTGTCACAAAATACCAGTGACAAGTGATGTTGGATAGAGCTGGTGTAAACTCAGTGGAATTTCCTTGTTCTAGGGTACTGGTAAGCATTGGACAAGTGAACTGAGGAATCTGTGTAGGAGGACGACAATGTTTATGAGTTGGAGAAATATCTGGATAAGCTAGATGACCTTAGAAAAGACCACTGAGGCATCAGTATGTGATGCAACTGTTGAAAAAGGCAAATTCTAAGATACCTCCTGCCTTGTATGTCTAATAAAGCAAGAGAAAGCAAATATTTTTGTATAAGTAGCTGGTATACCTTCAGCTGTAATGCTAAGTGCAGTTCTAGACACTCTTGTCCGATGCAGAATATTTCAGAGAAGAGCAGGTTCTAGGAAGGACTGATGGGATAATCAAGTGGACAGGGAGTCAAAGACTTGGATTTTTAAGATAAATAAATAATTGCTGTTGCTAAACGAGTGAGGGGATTGTGGAGGATAAGAGGAATAGAAGGATTCATAATGCCAGGGAAGGAGACAATTTGTTAAGCTCAAGGGTAGCGCTGACACAAGAACAAAGGAATGTCAACTAGCCATGATTAAATTTAAGCTGAAATATGCAGACATTCTGACTTCTCCAAGTCAGAAGGGAGAGCTCTTCTGCAAAGCCTCTCAAGGGTGGAGGAAACTTGAGATTCATCCCACCTAACTGTAGACACTTGATGAAGGTACTTACCTTAGGGATTTAGTCATACTAGATTCCTCTATAATTAATGTAAAGAGCCTCCTCCAGACTGTGACTCAGATTTAGGTGCATTGAATCACCTCGGAGATGTTTCCCTTGCATTGACCCAAGGTCCAAGGTGACTAGTACCTACTGCTGAAACCTGGGGTAAGTCTCTTAAGTATGATGGGTGGGTCTCCAAGAGGAAAGGACCAATTCGTTGCTAGGTGAAGAATGATTAAGAGATCATATGGAATGAAACCTGCCAGAGCAAAGACAAAGCTTTGAAAACCCAGTTCTAATTATAATCGTGGAATTATAACATGGTCTCAGGTGGGAAGTTGAATTCTGGGAAGAAAGATGAGTTGTGGCTAGTGCCTGTGGGCAGTAGGTTTTGTCTGCTGGAGAAGAGGAGAGGCAAGATTACCAACTCTAGCCCTGTGAAATCAAGACGACATTTAGTGCCGCAAATGTACTTAATTTTGTGTAAATTGATGCGTTCTTTACTAGCATGGGTGAAGCTGTCTGGATCTTCAGGGATTTGTTATCCCATCCCCTCACTATATTACAGTGTATTTTGGCTTTCTCTATGAGATATAGTAGGGTGAATACATTAGCAGATCTTCTGTTTTATGCCAGTTGTTATATCTGGATTGTAAAGAAATCACTCTTTATTCTCACTAGCATATGAAGATCAAACCTCTGTGACTATGTTTTTCAAAGTGCAACATTTAAATGCCTCTTTCCAGGCCTCTCGCTAATCTCTTTCTCCATTTCATGAAGTGGTGCTAATTTGAAGACATTTTAAAGTGCTCAAGAAAGAAAGCTGGAAGTGGAGGTTTGAAGGTGACAAGGCCTCCAGTGAGGGAGAGGAGGAGGAGAGGGAAGCTCGATAGCGCTGCCCTTCCAGGGATTCTGCCATTAACTGCATTATTTTTCTAAGCTCATTAAATAACCCTTAGAACTGTGAAAAGGTCAAGAGAGAGGGGAAGGAGCTGAAGCTGCCTGTGGATTTTGGTGGTGCTGCAATTTCCTAAGCAAGCAAAAGGAGGAATGAGCGCGGGGGGAATGTTGAAGAGGCAATGAAGGAGGAGAGTGGAGAGAAGTGTTGTTTTTTCTGTTGATCTTTTTTCTTGGAGCATTTCCACCCCCCTCCCTCCGAAGGCAGTAATAGGATTTGCTGGAGATGCTGAAAGCTCCAGATGAGGCTTTCGGCAAATTTTGTCTTTTCTCTCTCCCCTGTTTGCTTCCTCTTTCTCCCCACAGGTGCATTTCACGGGCTTGCCTCTGTGCTGGGGAGAAAGCAGGTCATGTGGAAAGGAGGCAGCCAAGTGCAGAGACCCAAAGAGAGAAATGATCACGGGGAAAATTACGGGTTGTTTCCTCACTGTTCACCTGCCTTGAGTGGTTCACTTAATTAACAATGCAAGTGTGAGCTGACAGATTTGGCAGGGAACAATAATGCAGTGGGAGGTGATGGAAAGTAGTCTTGCTGGGAAAGTTGTTCCTGATTTATAAATACACCTGATTATTACAGAGTCGCCCATTAATGACTCTGTAGTTTATAGCAACATTCCCTGTTCCCAACCCATGTTTTCATGGTGTTATGCAAAGGTGGCAGAATTTGTCTCTGGGAGCTGAAATTCATCTTGCAGAACAGCTTTGTTTTCATCCATTGAGCATTTAAAAAACAAAACAGATAAAACCTGCCTGGTTTCCTGTGTGCAAGGGAGTCAGCTAAAGGTAGAGTTTGGCCTGCAAACATAGGAAATGTCTCAGTTTTATTCTTGGAACAGAAGATGGGTCCCAGGAGGCACCAGGCTCAGTTTTGTTGTGTCCTTGGCTCTGAAAGCCAGCACAGCGTCCAGCCGAAAAGAGGCCTGGTTCTGGTCTCCTTTACTCTGACAAAGATCAGGTGCTACTCCACCAAGTCAGGAAATTACACTGGTGGAATAAAACCAGCAGGAAATCAGATGAGAAACCAGCCAAGCAGTTGAAAACTGGGACATTTAAACTTGAATGTATGTTATTTTCCCATAAAATTAAAGGCATTATAGATGGAAACATAACCCACCATCTAAATATTAATGCTTTGTAAAGTTTGGATGTAAACTCTGTAATTTGGGCCAATGTCTAACAGGGAAAGGAATTGAGCTGGCTTTGCTGAGCCAAGGGAGAAACTCCATGCAATCAGGCAAAGCAGACTAATGATCTGCAGCTTCCTCTGCCCAAGCTGTTTCTCCAGTTTCATGGCTGATAGGGATTGCTGGCAGTCCTTGTCACAGGCTGCAGGAGATCTGGCCCCCAGAAAGTCCTCGTATTTGGATCAGGCTCAGTGCTGGGTCCCTCGTTCGTGTCTGCTCCTGGATTTGCTTTGGCCGGAGCTCTCGGGAGGCTGTGCAGAAGCAGCTTATCCTGCGAGCTCTCCCCACGCCAGTTTCCCATCCAAATCCCAGCGTAGCTCTGTGGTAGCTGCTCTCTGGAGGAGCCACCTGCTGCTGCTCACAGCAGCCAACAAGCTGTGGTCGTCCACGGGCCAGCTCAGAGACGTGGTCCGTGCCATGGCACAGGTACAGTCCTGTCTCGCCTTCCGCTGCCGCTCTCCGTGGGCTGAGAATTGGTTTCTGGTTGCTCTAAAAGCCGGACCCTCATTAGGAACACCACGTGTGGGAAGGCCTGAGGTAGAAAGGCAGTTTGTTACTTTTTAATGGGGTTGACTTCTAAGCCACATTACAGGACTCACAGAGTTGTCTCTGCAGGTCGGAAACCTTCCAAAGAGATTACTGCAAGGAGGAGTTTCAGGCAGGTGCAGAGGTGAAGGTCTCCAAACCCACCGATGCTGTGCGAGCCTGGGACATGAGAAGCAGGCTGATCTATCTGCAAATCTCTGCCTTAGCTACTGCAGTCAAATTCCCTTGAGCAAAGGAAATGTCTGCTTTTAATTGGCGGCTGTTTCTTAACTTCTGAACGGTAACATCCAAGGCAAAACAAACAAACAAAACCTAAACAACAACAAAAGGCAAGGTTTCAAACTGAGCTGCTGGAAAAATCAAGGGTGATGCTTCCAGAGAAGTGGATGATGTTTTAGATACCGTTCGTGATCTTAATACAAGATGAGGATGAAATGTGCAACTTGCATGTGGGGTAGTCAGCTGGTAGCAGGACTGCAGGACTGTGATGTGCCAGTGAGCAAAGAACGTTGTTGGGGTTGGTGCTCAAAGACATTCCCCAGCAAAGCCCCATCTTTGTGCAATCCAGAGGCTGTCATCAAGTACACCCCTGCTCCAAATGCAGTGTGTGCCACAGGATTTGACACAATGTTGGCCCTCTTCTTCGAAAAGAAGTTACTCAGAAATTCTGCACAAATAAGAATCCAATTCCTTGGATTCTATATGAATAAATACACAGTATTGTGACATTTAAAATTCTTTTTCTTTTTTTCCCCTCTGGCTTTCCAGAACCAATGAATATAAAGCTTAAATTTCTGCCCTTTGCCTTTGGAAAGCTGGGGGAGCTTGTGTATATTTATCTCAGTGTAGAAACTGTGTGAAAGCTTCATTTGCATCGGTCAGAAACCGAGCAAGATTGTTTTCTAAGGTCAGGGCTATACCTATCTGGGACTGGGCTTTTGTAACTGGTGTTTCCATGCAATAAGGTGAATTCACAATATTGCTGGTGAGGTCTCAGCAGGCTGAGGCTACTCAATTCTTATGAAGAGATTGAGATTAAGGTCAATCAGATTAGGGTGTTCAGACTTGGCACAGCTGAAAATCCCTTTTTGCACTGCTGGCTGCTGAGTTCACAGAGAGGAGAGGAGTGATGTCTCAATGTTAGGACACGCATTTACCCACCTACAAGCATGTGAGGACACACATAGTCGAGCAGCACATCTGTAAAGCAGGGGAAGTATTTGGCGTGCGCTCCCCTCGGGATTAGCACTTCAGTAAAGCAGCGTGTTGAGCCAGAGTAACACGTCTTTATTTACCGAACAGATTTTGCATGTTCGGTTGTGTAAGTGAGTAAGTACAAGACAGAGATGAGCTTCTCTGCAATTGGAACAGTTTCTTTGTCAGCACTACGGCTCCTCCATTTAATTCCACAAATCTGCTGTAATCAGAGTGGCTTCACCCATCAGCTCAGCTGAGAGCGAGCACTGGGAGGAGGAAGCGGCTCTTACTTTCCAGCTCTCTGCGTTCTCAGGCATTGCATCAAAGTGGCATGGAGCCTCCTGGGAAAGGGATTTGCTATAACTCATGTCAGTCCCAGCCACATTATGTTTATGGATATGATAGACTGAACACTGAAATTACCATTTGCACAAATGATCACACAATTCCTTCAGGCCTACTGTGTCCCTTTAATAGTCCAATCTTTCAATAATGAAGTGGAGATCAGTCAGGACTCTCTGGAAATCCCATCTTTTTCTTTCATTTCTCTTTTTTTCTCCTCCTTTTTTTGGGCCTTTTTATTGCACACATTATTTTTGCCCTTTCTCGGAGCCAGATCCATTTACCGAGAGGTTTTAAGGGAGATCAGAAATGAGATTCTCAATATTCTGTTAATACTCCAGAACTAGCAACCTGGCAGAGACAATTCATTGCTGCTTGGGGCAATGAGTCATGGAAAACTCCGAAGTTAGAGAACTGCGTACAGAGAAAAGGGATGCTATTCATGAGGCCTCAAAAACCAATACAGTGCAGGAAAGACACTTTAGAGAGCAGGCTTTCCTTACTGACTTAATACTGGTTCTTACACTCCCTGCTCCATCTCCTTCAAGATTTTACTCTGTTTTAGGGCACTTCTTGAGATCAATACACCGGGCCAGTTAACTGATGGTGTTAAAGGCACGAAATATATTTGTTGCGTGGATCAAATGACGAGCTGTTCTAATCAAAAAAGAGGGTTTGACCCTCTCAACTTTATTTTCATAAGAGGCTCTCCTACAGTTCTATTCACCTGTTTCTCAATGAAAACGTGTCTCTGTGAGAAGCAACAGGACTTTTCCTGAATTTATCTTTTAAGGACTCAGCCAGAGCTGAGAGGTGTAAGGCAGAGGTAGTAGAAGTGGGCTCTGCAGAATAGGTGAGAATACGACTTAAGATTGCTCTGAAACAGAATAAGTAGAGGTGAGGCAATCTGCCCTTTGAGGACACACTGTGAAGCACTGGGTATGGTGCTTGACACAGGGCATGGTCTGGAGAGGTGATGGGAGAGCTGCTGACAATGGCAGAAGTCTCTGCCAGTTACATTTAGCTGATAATCCAGGGAACTGGGAGCAATAAAGAGATTGGGCCCTAGCAAGGAGCCACGCTTTGCATCCTGATCTGGGCTGCAGCCTACATACAGCTCCCGAGCCACATGCAGAGGTGGTGTCACACCACAACGCTCTGTGGGAGCTGGTGGACGGGACTCTCAGGTGACATAAATCGGGAGGTTTTGATGGAGCTGTACAATGAGAAACTTGGGTCTGCTGTCTGTATTCAACCCTTTGTTGATATTTTTTCCATCTTCCCTCTTAACATCTCTTTCTGTCCCCGCATAGTGCTTTACCCTCTTTTTCTCATCTTCCTTTCTTTTTTTTCTGTACGATATATTTCTTTTCTCTTCTGTTTAGCTCCCTACTCATTGCTGTGCACCTAGTAGTTACTTCAACCAAGACATGGATATGGTCACTCTGGCAGGAGATCGTGCCCTGAAAATCAAACCTGCCAAAGACGATGGTCAAAGCCATTAGAAAGATTGCAGCTTGAGGGCCGCCCCTCTCCAACCCCTAAATGTGAGCACCGAAGTTCCTGTAATTGTGTTGTGTTCGGGAGCAAATTGTGCCTGGAAATATGTTTGCGAGGCCTTCTCCACAAGGCTGTGCCATGTGCGCGAAGCAGCTGCAGGAGCCGGGAAGGTGCACGCAGGACTTCAGCAGTCTCTTGGTGGGGGATTCCGCTCCTGAGCTGGAAGCCTCCATCTCCCCACTGCCTCTCCAGTGGTGGGAAGCTGCCGATGTATTTGTTTTTAATTATTTCCCCTGTTGCATTCGCTCTGTTTTCTTGCTTACGTTAACACAGCTCTCCTCACTGCCCGCGCTCAGCTGCCTATTTGTCATTTCTGCTGTTTGACGTGTCGTGGTAATCTATGTGCACCCAGCCTGCTGTGCATCGATATTTACTAATGGAGCTTCTTGTATGCAGAGGCTGTTTGCAATAAAAAGATAATGAAGAAAACTCCTTGACCCTGGCCAAGCAGTTAGCAGAAATCACAGCTATCGACAGGGGTATATCCGCCATCCGTCCCTGGGTGGGGAGGAAAGAGCCGATAGGGGGAGGAGAGGAGGGGAGTTAAAAGAAAGGGAATTGGGACCTGGGAGAGATGTGGAGGAAAGGAGGAAATGAAATGGAGAAACAGGAGGCAGCGAGGGAGGTGAGTGCATGAGAGAAATCATTGCAGGGAAGGGGAGATGGGCAAATGGAGAACAAAGTACTGGGGGGATTGAAGCTGGAAAGGCAGGGAGGAGAGGGAGAGAGAGTGGGAAACAGCAAACAGAATGGGGAGTGTGGGGAGGAACGGGAGAAAAGGCAGAGACAAAGAAAGAAGCAGAAATGCAGTAGGTGGTGGGGAGCAAGAGCCTGATTATGGGGTAAATGGCATTGGTCTGTTAATAACCAGTGGAGGATTGGCACCGAGGACCCAGTTTGCTGACAGGAGTGGAGCCAGGCTGCTCTACACCACCTGTGTGTGCGGTCTGCTAACTTCCAGAAAGCTCTGTCCATTTCCAGCAGTTCAGGTTTTGTCCCCTTAACCACGAGTTTCTGTCCCATGGCAGTGATGCTGTGTCTCTAGGCAGAGCAGAGTTCCTTGATACATCCAGATCCTGAAGCTGCCAAAACCTGCAGCTGCTCTACAGGTGGGAGTTGGTGCTCACCTCTTCGTTGGCACACTGATCTGGACTGAGTCACCTGAGGCTTCCCAGCCAATAGCTCATGAAGTCACCTCTGGGGATAAAATTGTGTGAGAGCCCAGCCCTCCTTGCATGTTGAGCCTCCCCAGCCCTCGTGGGAGCTGTTATCATTGTGGGGTGACTTCCCCAGCCCCAGTCCTCTCAGGGGTGCAATGGGGAAGCCTGCCCCTGTCCTTAGTGAATCCACCTAATGGGGGAAATCGGTAGTGTACCAAGCTTCTGTGTCACAAAACCGAGCACTTGACAGGCTTGTCCAGTCAAGGGGGAGCCTTTTTCTGTGCAGAAGACCAAACTCACAGTGCGTAACGCATTTTGCAATCAAATCCTTACGGGTTTTCCCAGGCTTTTGCAGTAAGAAACAACAGTGAGATCAATAAACGTCTTCATACTTGCAAAGTGACCAAAAGAAGACATTAAGAGAGGTTTTTAAAATTCTGGGCTAGCCTGGGTCTTGGGAAAGAAGCGAGGAGCTTCTCTCAGAAGTGAGTACATGAAGCAGGTGTGAGCACCGAACATGAGGGGATCTGAGGGGTTAGTGCTGCATCCAGGGAGCTTTGATGCTCTGGCAAGTCTCATGGATTGCAACCAAAAACCTATTACAAAGCTGGGCTGTGATTCCCTGAGGCAGAGGCAAACAGAGCATCTGTAGAGAGAACTGACAGCGTGGATGGGGGGAGCAGGGAGGTTTTGTCCAGCGGTGCAGCATTGTCACTGTTCAGCACACAGCTCCTGCCCTGCCCTGCTGCTCCTTGCAGCCCCAGGGAGGGAAAAACAAATTATCCCAGGGACACACCAGTGCCCAGGGTCAGCTGCAAGGCAGCACCCTGCTTCCCAGCACTGCTGGGTAATTTTGGGAGGAGAGCACGTCTTCCTTCTCTGTTGTCCACTTCTGCCTGCAGAAGATGCCCTGCAACGTATTAAAATGTGAGCTGCTCAGTGCAGCAAACAGAGTGAAACTGGTTAAATTTGGTGCATAACGTCTTTATTAAGCCCAGGAGCAGCCTTCCTGGCTGGCAGTGACCCTGGTGCCCAAAAGGGGTCGGCCACAAGGAGTGTGGCCACCCAGGGCTGGGACACGCAGCCTTCTCCTGGGCAGCGGCCTGAACATAGGGAGTGCCACGGTAAATTGCACAACAAAAACAAATTAAAGCTGAGTGCCTACAGCAAAGCACGTAAATCCGTACTTAATGGCCTGATTCCCAGAGGAGCGCAGCCCTTGGACCCAAAAGACTTGCTCTAGCGCACGATTGTGGCCTTTGGTCTGTTTTTGTGCATTTTAAGATGAAGTATTTTAAGGTAAGTTTCCCGGTGGCTTTGCTAATTTAATTTAGGCAGGAGGCAGACACGTGGGTGGGTGAACACGTGGGCTCCATACACTTTGCAGTCAGGGCTCCTGCCTGTTAATGACCCCACAGTGAAGCAGCAGCCAGCTCTGGGCATGTGGACAGCGGGGTCCCACATGGAGGCAGCCACATGAGAGGCCAGGGACAAGGCTTTGTCCTCACCACGTGTCCCTGGGCAGCGCCAGGTAGCAGTATTCCCAGTGCAGGCTCTCACAAAAGCAGGAGGAGTGGGGCTGAACTGCAGAGCATCAGCAGGAGTCATTTACAGGGTGGGATGTTACTAAGGGGTACTCCTGACACGGGTGAGGCCACATGGATCTGTGGGTTTCAAGGAGTCTCCGATACAACAGCAAATATCAAGGACCCAGTCTGGCCCAAGGGAATTGCAGTCCCCAATCCCCTTGGATTGTATAACCAAGTTTTTTTAATTATTTTTTCTCCCATTTCTTTTGGCTGTTTTTAACCTGAGCAATTTGCTACTGGAAGCGAAAGGTTTTGTTGCGAGCTTTCACAGCAACCGGTCAACTACAATAAAACGTTTGATGGAGAATAGTTAAAATGAATTGTTTTGACTTCGTATTTCATTTTGGTAATGACAAAATGTTTTGTTTTGAGCACTGAAAAACTCTTGGTTTCCATATTTTTTTCCCCAGCCTAATTTGGATGGATTTTATATTACATTAAAGCATTAATTTTAAATAGTTTGTAATAGCAGAGTGATTCATATTATATCATTTTGATGTCTCCATATGATTTTTTTTTACACATTTACTCTTCTGTGAGAAGGTTTGAGAACCTAGGCTGTTGCTTCCAATTCGGAAGAGGAGTTTCCTGTAAAAATTGAAGTTTACTTTTCCAACCACAGTTACTATCCCAGCAACTAATCCTTCGCCTTCTCCATTTATTAACCACCCTTCTTCCCTCTGTCTTTACCGCTCCTTCCTTGTTCTTCTTTTCTCCTCCTGTTCTCAGCATACCCAGTGAAAATCTCCTGTACCCAAGGGAAGAGCAAAGGTGCAGAAATAAACCATGGTGCAGCCGGAGGGGAGGGAACAGGTCTTTGGGCACACCAGGGCTAGATTTCTTTCTGCTGGAATAAGTTCCTCCTATCCCCTTGGTCCCTACATGTATATACACACCTGTATATATGTGTATGTATGCTTGTGTATTTATATATAAAAACATCAATTTCTGTTCGGATATCCTTGTTCTGTTCCCACTATTTAGCCCCATGATCGTGTCTCCCACACCAGGAAATGGGCTGAATGGGGACATGAGAGCACCAGGAGGGAAGGAGAGCAGGCGAAGTGAAAAAGGAAGCTGAAAAGTTGTGAGGTTGCCTGCTGCACATCAAAAGAAGGGGCAATAAAATCTTAAAATGCTGCCTGTCACTCAGGATTGTTAAATGTCAGTGGAAAGAACACCTGGAAAACTTCTCCAGGATTGCTTCAGACTTTGTCTTCACAAATACTTCAGCTATTTGAGAACAGTCAATTTCAAATATAAGCAAACATACCCATACACGGTGTACATTTATGTTAATATATATATTTATTTAAGCTGTAGCTTCTGTGTTTGTTAGCTCCCAGTGAATTCCCTGCGTGCACAGATGCAACTGGGAGCCCTATAGCATGGCACTGCTCATATTTCTCTAGGAGAACCGACCCTGGCTGGTACCTGGGAGCTGGTGAGACTTGGCACAGCTCAGGCCCGTTTTGTTCCCTGCCTCCAGACCCTCTGGGGCCGGTGGAAGGGCCAAATACCTCTGCTTGTGCAATCCCACCCCAAAGACCTTGCGAGCGTCTCCTATCCTTCACTAGCAACCGTGGCGGTCGGGCGGCCGCGCTTCATTTCCTGCAGAATTTCAGCTGCTTCGGTATTTATCAAGAGCATCTGTTAAACAATCTGGAGGGGAGCGGTAATGGTGCCATTAGCGGGCGCGTGAGGAGGGAGGTGCTCGGCAGCACCGAGACCAGACGAGACGAGGCTGCGCGCTGTGCGTTTGGGGGTGTCGTGACCTTGACTTCTTGTCGATGAGCGATGTTATGTGTCTTGGAGCAGAAATGACGGTGGTAATGGTGCTCTGAATAGATGTGTTCTGGTCACCGGGGCTGGAGAGGGATGCAGGGGATGGATCATTAGAGAGACAGAAACAAGCAGCATCTCCGCACCGGGTTCTTGCAGAGGTGCTGTCCCTACGTGCAGGGAGAAAACACACAGAAAACGATGCAGGAGTGTGTACCCCCTTCCCCTAAAGATCATCCTTCATCTGGGGCCTTCTTTGCCCTCACTGACTGGCTGTTGGCACTTGTGGGCTCCACAGAGGTGAGCAGTAGTGTGGATAAGAAATGAACTCTACTGAGATGACGAGTAGCATGCACAACACGTACAGCCTTGTGCAAAACCCTTCTGCAAAGAAGACAGCTCAGGAGCACCCGCAATGCCCCCAGCATTCATCTGCAGGGCCCTAGCCCTAATTCCCAGGTTGCTTCCACAGCCTCTGTGACCTTCCCAAACTTCCAGGCATTCCCTGCAGCGACAACAGCAGCAGCCTCGTGCTCTGGGTCTGGCCTCGTACTCCACAGGACAGATGTATTGCGGCACAGCGGTGGCTACGCAGGGATCCTCTTTGCCCAGCAGCTGCTGCAGAGAAGTGTTGAACAAACCAAATCCCCTGTCTTTGCCCATAAAAACAGCCCCGATACAAGCATGATTGCTGAACAGCAACAGTGATGCCCACTGATTGCTGAACGGCATCCGCAGCGTCCCACTCCCTGTCTGCAATGGAACTTGGTTCTACCACTCGGCAAAGTTTTGTTGATGTCAGATTTTCTTTTGATTTACGCATCTACACGCTTATGTAGTCCTAATTCATTTCTTCAATGGCCCTTCAGCTGTTATATTTTTGCTTGTCAGGGTGCTT